CCGGGCTGAGGGAGGCGGGAAGCGCCCGCGGGAGCCGCACGCGCCGCCTCGCGGGGCGGGGGAGGGGAGGGCGGCGCCGGACTCACCTCCCCCGTACACGCCGCCGCTCATGGCTGCCGCTGGGCCCGGCCCCGCCGTCCGCCGCGCCCGCGCCGCCCGGCCCCGCTACCCACCCGGCCCGATGTCCGCGGGCCCCCCGCGCTCCCCGCCCGCTCCTCCCGCCGCCGACCCGGCAACAAAAGCGCCGCGGCCGCGCTCCCGCCCGCGGCCCGGCCCGACCCGCAGCGCCGAACGCCCGCCCGCCAATGGCAGCGCCGCGCGGGCACAGCGGGCCAATCGCGGCCCGGGGGAGGCGGGGCTGTGCTCGCGGACTGCCAATCCGGAGGCGGGACGCGGAGGGCGGGCAGGGGAGCGGGGGGGCGGTGTGAGGGGAGAGGCGGGCGGGGAGGGAAGGAGGGGCCGCGGGGAGGGGGAGCGTGAGGGGAGAGGAGGGTGAGGTGGAGACGGTGCGGGGGAATCACGGAGTCAGAGAACGGGTCAGAGTGGAAGTGAGCACAGTGGGCCACCTGGCCCAACCTCCCTTCTCTGGCAGGGTCGTCCCAGAGCACGTGGCACAGGATTGCGTCCAGGCGGCTCTGGGATATCTTCCAGAGTGAGAGAGAGTCCACACCCTGCCCGGGCAACCTGCTGCAGCGCGCAGTTCCTGCACGGGAACGAAGTTCTTCCTCGTGTTCAGGTGGAACTTCCTCTGCATCAGTTTCTGCCCGTTGTCTCTTCTCTTATTAGTGGGCCCCACCGAGCAGAGCCTGGGAGACAGGCCGGAGACAGGACGAGAGGACATAGTCTCAAGCTGCACCAGGGAGGTTTAGGTTGAACAACAGAAAGGTTTTCATCACAGAAAGAGTGATTAGACATGTGAATGGGCTGCCCAGGGAGGTGGTGGAGTCACTGCTTCTGGAGGTGTTTAAGGAAACACTTGGTGTGGCACTCAGTGTCATGGTCTGCTTGTCGTGGTGTTGGGTCATAGGTTGGACTCGGTATCAGAGGTCTTCTCCAACCTAATTGGTTCCGTGATTTTTGTGATTCCCCTGCTGCTCTCACTGATCTGTTGTGCTCTTGCACTCAGAATAAAACGTGTTTGAAGTATATCTTGATACCCCCGGGTTGTGCTGTTCCTTTCTGGTGTGGGGCACAGCCTGAGGTTGGTGTGTGTGCAGGGTTGCAGGGTGCAGGGCTGGGCAGTTCAGATTCGCCGGCTCAGCTGCCGGTTTCGCAGCCGAACTTGTCATTTAGGCTCTCACATCGCCTTGTTTGGTGTCGGCGTGCTCAGCCAAACCTGGTGTTCAGCCAGAACAGCCAGAGAGAGGAAACTATAAAGTTGTAGGAATTCAAGGAAACAAAAGAAAGAGACCTCAGGCGTAACTCGCAGTCAGTATTAGGGAAGCCTAAAATTCTAGCTGGAGAAGGGGAGTATTGGCTTAAAGGGCAAGTGTTCCTGGTATGCACCTTTTTCAGTTCTTATATGAAGCAGGGTTTTTTTGGAGGGGCTGAGGAACTGAGTGTTCTTTCGGTGTGACTAGATTTAGTCAGCATAATAGTATATTTTATTTATTACCCTTATGATTGCCTATAAAATCATAGAATAGAATCATAGAATAGATTGGGTTGGAAAAGACCTCCAAGATCATCGAGTCCAACCCCTGATCCAACTCCAATTACTATATCATGGCACTAAGGGCCACGTCCATAATAGCATAATGAGTGATCTTAATAGCAATTAATTATTGGACTGGAAATAATAATAAAAACTTTTTCTTAAATTTTCATCCTAAACCAAAAATTAGTGGTGTAAGCTTGCTTTGTCTTATTTTGATAGGGAGCTCAAGACTTCCTACAAAGCTTTGTTTCTTGTGTAAGTTGTGACCTAAATTTTAATTGTATCTCCTTATTTACGCTGAGTTTAATCAGGGAGGTAAGAAGAGAGATAAAACTGACATTTGGTGTACCCAGTAGTTTTATGCAGGAAGTTTGTAAAGCTGTTGAAAATAGATCTGATTATTGGAAATGTCAACAAAATTTATGCTGGTGAAGGAGAAAATCAGCCTGGATGTGTGTGTTTGGACTGCAGCTCCCAACGTGCTTCAGTTAATGCTGGGCTGGTGACTAGCAGTTCCCTTTTAAGGGGGAGGGTGTGAAAATGTAGGAAAAACAGTAAAATCCAACAGTTCCAAGGGGCAACACACAGTTGTGGGGGTTTTCGAGCACAATTATGACAGTTACAAGGAGGTGATTTGATTTACTAACTCTCAAGAGTGAGGAATTTAATTTGATACAGTCTGACTTTCTGGTTCTTTAATGACCAAACTTCATAGTTTTATCCTGCAATTAAGAAATTCATTTTTCTATATAAGTTACAGTACACTTCAACTACAACATATCAATGCTAGTGTTTAAATCCTGCAGTTTCATTAACTGTACATCATAAAGACAGTGCACTTGGTGTTTGTATTATGGAATCTTTTAAAGTTAGTATGTTATCATGATTTCCAGTATGAAGTTAGTATGCTATCATGATTTCCAGTATGTGGCACTAATACTCAAGGTACAGCTGTTCGAGGAGGAGGAATTAATTGCAGAGGGGAAAAGTGGTTTAGAAAATTTGGAATTACTGTGCCAGAGGATCTTCATTTAGCTCCTGCTTGTACTTTATTTTGTAGTAATGATTCATTATATTCATATATTAATTGATTTAGTGTGGTAATTGACACTTTAAGCCAGATCCTGCTCACTGCACAAGAGCTGCCTGTGGCTGATCTGCAAGCCAGAACCTAAGACAGCATTCGGTTGCTTTATTTTTCTTCAGTATTTCTTCAACACAGAAGAGTTCCTGGTGATGCCATCAGGAAATGTGTGCCAGGGTACAGAGGATTGTGGCGCCTGAGGCTTGGAGAGAGGATTCACCTTTACAGCGCCAGTGGCTGATGGAGACCGATCGTGAGAACTGCAGGTAACACGCATCGGGAATCCTGCTGGTATCGGGAAGCCTCGGGATCTGACAAGCATAAGGATATAAAGCCAAATCCGTGTAATCCTCAAGAAGCTTGGAGGATAAGGGGAAGGAAATTTAGACTGACAACTCTCCAGGTCTTACTTTTCTCTGCCTTGCACTTTCGCAGGCATCAGTGTGTGCAGGACATCACGGCTGTTTGATACCACTTTGCAGTGACTTTGATTTGCAGCGGTGTGAATAACCCTACAAGGCTCAATGCACAAGGGGAATAGACTGCAGGTGTCTGTTTCCAGCAGACAAAGCTTAATTTAAGCCTTCCTAAATTTTGGATTATTTCAGTGAATTCCTGCACATCATCCTATGTTTGCATAAGAGCAGGGGAAATCTAAAGTTTTACCGCTGACTGTAATGCACCCAGATGTTTTTTGGGAGGGTTTAAGTATTTCTGCTTAGTTTTCTCAGAGGTAAGGATTATAAAATCAAAGTAGATAGAAACAATGAATGTACTTTATCTGGGTTCCCATATTGATACACATGGCTGGAATATCTTGCCAGGAGTTTCAGGTGGAGGTATAATGCACACTAGTTTGTTTTCATGGGAATTTCACATACCTATTTACTGTATGTGACATTGTATATAATAACTCTAAAACCAGATATGAACCGAAATTGTCCTCAGGAATAAAGAGAAGAATAATTTTTAGAGTGAGGCATGAACCAAGGCACCAAATACTGATGCTTACTCATAAGCAAAAGTTAATTTCATCAGTGATAGTCTGGAGAAAGTGAAGTTTCCTAATTATTGCTTTAAGGTTTTTAAAACTTCACTAAGATGTAATTGTTTCAAGCAAGTACATTCACCTTTTTAGCAACATAAAGCATTGTAGAAAGTGATGTATATGTCAGGCCAAAACTGAACAAAAATGATTTTTTGTTTCTCAACAAGCTGCCCTTCCCCATGGGGTGGTTGATGGGCTGTTGCTTTTGAGCAGTGCCATACAAGTGCCACTCAGTCTCCTCGACTGCAGTGCCAGCAGACTGACTGTGACAATGGCTTATTCATAACGTCTGTGGTCCTCCTTGATTCTTGATTGCAAAATGCATGTTAAAGGTTTTATTTTTCTTATTTTCGGATGAGATCTTCTGTGTTTATGTGAACTGAGAAAGCATCTGTAGATGAAAGAGCAGAATAATCATTAATACTCATTCAGTCAAAAACTTCATATGATTCATATAAAATGTACCAAAGACAGACACTTTAAACCTGGATAACCACTGTACAGGCTGTTTGGGCTTAGCAACTGAAAATGCTGAGGAGAGGAGGTCTGAAATCTCTCTGTGACTCCAGCAAGGCAGTTCTGGGGATATGTGTTCCTGAATCTTCTTATGGAGCTGGTGTGTTTAACTCGTCCTTTTGTAAAAGACCCATGATTCAGTCTTATTTTAGGACATAATTGAAGGAAGGGGTGATGGTTCTTGTCATTAATACACAGTCAACTTTCCATCATCAATGGGTGGCCCGACTAGAGTTTGGAGAGCATGCTGGGGTTCCACTTGACTGGCTGGAATAATAGTGACTAGGATACACTGGAGAATGGGGGGAATAATATTAGTGCTGCTGAACCATAAGTGGTCACTGAAACCAAAGCAGGGACATCCAGACCCTTTTCTTGTTTAGGTCAGGCAGAGTAGGGACATCCAGACCCTTTTCTTGTTTAGGTCAGGCAGAGTATGGATACACAGAGCCAGATTTGGTCAGCAGTGCACAGCAATATTTGCCTGGAACTGGTTCTGAGGTAATAGGTCTCCTGGGCTGAGCCAGCCCTGGCCAGAACTGAAGTGTGCTTGAATTGCCCTTCTCAAATGAGTCTCTTGTGTACATATGTCTCACTTGGCTCAGATCTGGCAGAACTTACTGTTTCAGGCTTAGTGCTTGGTCTGTAGTCCCTTTGGATTCTTGCAGGGCTTATTTGCTTGGCAGCTGGGCCACCTCTGACCTGGCTCAGTACCTCTCATCTGCAGAAACAAAGCTCTTTACAGCTGGGAACCAGCTTAGCCTGATAAACAGAAGATCTTTGTGTCAGCTGAGCCCTGCCATTAATGAGGCACATTGATCCCCTGTGCTTCCCACTGCTCCAGTAGGAATCTGGGTATGACAGCTGAGCAGGTAGCATGGACTGCAGATCTGTTTCTTGCTCAGGGGCTCCGTCTTCAGCCTTGCAAGGTTCAAATCCCTTTTCCCGGCTTCCCAGGAGGTGCTGCGTTGCCTCAGTAGCATTTTCAAGCTGTGATGCCATGCAGCTCAGACCCATGGCTCTGTGCAGCCAGGGGGAAGGAATCCAAGAGGGAGCTGCTGACTGACCTCCTCTGAGAGAGCAGAGCTTTGTTGGGTGAAATGAGGCTGTCTGGGGAGAGGAGATCATCAGTGACCTTATAGGTGTTGTGACACGTTCTGTGTCACCTTTTTGGAACCCTTTTGAAATCTTGGTCTGCTTTACTGTAGAAAACGGTTTTCATTTGACATCTGGAAATGTTTGTTGTGCAGGGGAGGTTTTGGTGTGACTGTGTCTGTGCCGAGTTTGTTCTCCCACCAGGAGAGGGCACAGGCAAAGCAGGGGCAGAGACACCAGCCATCCACATAGTGCAGCAGGTTTTGGAATACAAACTAGAAGAACATGACTTCCACTGGGCTTCAAAAAACCAAGCGTTGCCTTGGTTTATGTACTATTGTATCCAAAAAAAAAAGATTGTTATAAAATTAATTATTAAACAGTAGTGAGGAAAAATAATAGTGCATTTGCTGGATGGGCATGTTTGCAAAGAGATTGTCACTTCTTTCCTGAATTCATTCAGGTCATTACTATGACATGTAGGTACTTTGTCATCCTAAATGAGTATGTAGAGCAATGCAATTGCACTGCAGCAAGAAGAGTGATGTGGAAAAGGGCGTGCTTTTATTGAAGAGATATCAATTTGTAGAAGAAGCTAAGGATTGCAGTGCTTTATCAGAATGTTTATTCACAGAATATGTGTAATTCTGGGGCAGTCACGCTACAGCTGTTCAAAAGTATCAGCTGCTGAATTACAGCATCAGCACATATCAGTATTAATATGCTCCATTTTAAAGAGCCATTGGGATTGTATATAAGACCTTTTTATTATTTGATGTTTATAATTTGATGATTATTTGAAATTTGCTCTAACAGGTAAGTTCATGGCATTTTTTATAACTAGTGTAGGAATTCTGATTTTTATATCAAGGGATTTGCAATCCCTTTTCTTCCAATTACGTATTTATCTTAGAGTCTGATTCTTCTCTCACACCACACTGGCACAGTGTCTTTTATTTCAGTGCAGCAGAACTGTCTCCAAGAGGGGGCTGAGGCCCAAGACACCTTCCTTGCAAGTGAAATTGGGAGGAATGAGTGTTCCCAAGGAAAAGTTGTGACAGTGCAGAACCTGATAAGATCTGCAGGTGACAAGTCTTCCTTGGGTCCTGATATGTCAGCTCATGTGAGTGGGTAATCTTCATTATTCACTCTTTTATATGAAAATTAGCTATGGCATAGGGAATACTGGATAGGAGAGTGGTTAGGGATGTTCTTTCTCACAGGACATAAACAGCATATGACAGCACCACTCCATGACAGCCTTGGTATTTTGCATTTACTAATTGCTTATTAATTGCATTTATTACTTGTTTTCTTTGAACAATAAACAAAAATAGAGATAGAAAACTGTCTAGCACTGCGGGGTGGTTGTGGTAGGGAGAGCTAATTTAAGCAAGTCTCAGGTATTTTTAAACTAGTGCTTTTAGGGAACTGGGCTTGTGCTACCTGTTTGATTGCCTCCACAGATGATAAGGTTGCAGCATAAGTACATTATAATTGCTGACAACAGAAAATCCATCTAGAACGCAGGCTGCGTGAGTATCTTTATTCTGGGAAGAGCTTTGATCAGAAATCTTTGCTTTTTTGAGACACACAAAGGAATCCAAACATGAAACACAACTGGAGGAAACCAGGCCTTTTAAGCTCTATTTCTCAGAAACTTCTTATTTTCAAGGGCTTGTTTAGATCTGCCTTAAAAACAAACAAACAAACAAACCCAAAGCTGTAGACACAGTTTCTCTAAGTGTGCCTGAGCCAGGTGCCAGCCCAGAGAGAGCCAGTCCTGGGCACTCCAGGCCTGTGCTGCTTTGTTCAAGTCCTAGTGCCACGTGGATCCCGAGGCTGCAGCACCTGCCAGAACCGCGGTTTGTTTGACTTGGTAGCTGATGGTCAATCTGAACCACCAGCTCTGAGGGTAAGTCAGCAGGGGCTGCAGGTGTCACCAGCACATTTCATCCTTGCCCTGTCTTGTTGAATGGTTGGACTTGCCTGGTCCTCTCTGATCAGAACTACTCCAGTTTTCCTGCTCCAGGGTTCCCCAGCTATGGTGATCATCACCTACTGGAGTATTTTGGCACATAGTTTATGGGGTCAGCAGAGACTGATCTGAGTCATTAAGGTACTAGATGACAAATGCAGGAACTGGAAAAAAGATGGAGTGAGAGTAACTAACTGCTGGGTTTGGAGGCATCTGTGTTAAAATGCAGACTGTGTCTATGAATTTGATTAAAATGGAGTACTAAAGCAGTATGTTCATAGCCAGATGTTTGCATTTTCTGAATGTTAGTACTTTATATTCCTCGGTTTATCTCACTGAATTTCACTGCAATAACGTTCCCAGACAAAGCTAAATCATGGGAAAGCCAGAGAATGCTCAAAGGCTGTAATTTCTGCTCCCAAAGAATGTTGTTATCTTCCAGCATGAACACCCTTGACATCAGCTGGTCGAGCTGCAATATTCCTAATGGAGAAGCACAAGGTCACTAATAATGTGTTTGGCATCATCTGCCAAGGCACATGTCGGTCCTCTAGGAGGACAGAGAAAGGGAAAAAAAATACATTGTATTTTTTTACAACACTGTAATGTTCAGAATCGTATCCATAGCCTAGGAAACAAAAAACATCATTCACCCCTTTGATGTTTACATGATGTGACAGTGTAAGGGCCTTTAGAGAAATAATATGTTCTGATAGGTTTGGGGTTTTTTTTCTGGAACTCTGTGGCATAAAGGGCACTGGGCCTGCTAAAGCCTGAGCTCATTTTCTCCAGCTGAAAACCAGATTGGAGAAGACACACCTAGAAGGAAAGACAGAATTTGGAAAGAATGGAGAAGGTGTGATTGTCCTTTATGCGAGGTCACTACAGGCATGTTTAAGTGGATGAATTCTGCAATAGGATGCATGTCACAAGCATTTAAATATTGAGCCAGAAAAATGCTGAAGACTTTTGATTCCCACTCACTTGACTGAGCTGATCCTTTCCTGGGACGAGTCGCTTCAAATAAAATCAGTAATAACTTATTTATTGAGTGGTTCCTGTCTCCAGTCTTTTCTAAGAAACTGAAGAATTTTTAATTTAATTTGCTAATGTGTTGGCAAGTTATATCAGTGTACAGAAAGGATCCTTTAAGGATTGGCAACCCCATTTTCCATTGGGCACTACATATGCTAGACTCAGCAGTATGACACAATGTCACAAAATGAGCGTAAGTTTCTGGTTTTGTGCCTTTTCCTAAGGCTCCATTAGAAATCTTGCTTCCTGACTGCAGCTCTCTCTTCCCTTCTCCCTGTTCACAGACTGGATTTGTGCTCGTTGTACTGCCCAGAACATTCACAAGTCCATCTCACGTGCTGAAACACAGGCAAGTTTATAGGCCGGGACATGACATAAAATGATGAAGGTTTTAAGACCATCTCTTTGCAAAACCACAGAAAGTTTTTGCATACTTAAATACCTTCTGTTATTATATCTAATAACATTTCATGCAAAATATGTCCATGGCAGACTGCATTTGTTCTTACAAAAGCACATTTGGGAACACTGATGGTAAAGTTTTTGTTCAGTTGTGATAGTAGGTGGAAAGTTTGTGGTTGGATCTAAATTTCTGCAAAGACTAATTGTGAAAAAATTAGGAGCTTAGATTTGGGTCACCAAAGAGAAGATTTATGGGAACATAGAGCTTGCATTGACCATACACATATTGGTGAACTTTGCCTTCTGTGGTTTCTCAACACAAAATAGTGCTTATCCTCATGTCAGGAAAAAATGTAATGTCAGAGGTAATGTTATACTGAGATTTCACTTTGCTCAGATAAAGATATTTGTCAGTTATAACCCAGCAGAGCATTTGTTGGTATGATGCTGCCAGAGTTTAAATAATTAAAAATGAGTTGTCTTCAGCAAATGAATAAAGTACACCTAATGGAGCATTATCATTTGAATATTCTTTCTGTTCATTACTTGTTTGGTCGTAAAATTCAGTCACTTGCAATGGCTCATTCAGCCTTTTTGGAAAATTGTCATGATACAAATGTAATGCCTCCTTCCTGATTGCAGTGGGATGGTAGATTTTGAAAACAACAAAAATTAAGCCCTTTCTTCCATAAACCTTTTCAGCGGTAGCACTGAAAGCTCTTTCTGAAGGAGTTGGAGTCCTTATTCACTTTGTACAGCTGGGGAAACGTTTTGTGAGAGCAAGCTGGTATTACAGCTGAGGTAAATGACTCGGGGCTCCTGAAATCTCAGCTCACTGTCCTAGATGTGAGGACAGTCAGAGGCGGCTGCTGGTCTAGTGACATTTTCTCTCAGGTAGTTGCTGATTCTGTATAGATCTATGATTTATTGGAAACAAGTGAAAGAATTGAGTGGAGATATTTGTCTTCCCATTATTTGGTGAACTACAGCTTGTGCTGCTCTGTGCAATTATCAGTTGAGGCTCTTCCTTCTGTTACCCTTAGAGAGTCACATTTTAAACAGGATTTCCTTGGTAGAAATGTGTACACTGTGCTTAATACACTGATTCTTCCTACTTTTATACTCTCTCTGATCTCGGAGGACCTGGATGTAATTTTTTAATTTAGGCATTGGCAAAGTTTCTTGCCTTTATTCTTGTATGAACAAGCTAGGCCTCTCAAGCCTGTCTGTCCTCTTCTTCAAGGATCTTCTTCACCTAAATTTGAATGCATCTGAATTGTAAGTAATTGAATTTAGGCAGCTAGGTATAGAAATATCCTATTTGCAGCTGCTGGTTGCTTCTATTTCATTTCAGATTTGAAGTGGGGCAGAGTTCAAATACATGTAATGTGTTTTCATCAATTCTACAGGAAACTCAGTTGTCATGGTAGAGCCATTCCCATCCAACTTTTACATAATAGCTAAGTGGTTAGAGCAGCCACCTCGATTCACTTCCTTCTTCAGTTCTTATTTCAGAGAATTGTGCCCTTCCCTTTAGGTTATTAAAATGATCTGAGTGATAATGCTTTCCAGAATGCTCTTTGAAAGCTGTTTTTTTTTGTGCATTTAGGAATCCAGAAACCCTGAGGTCTAAAGAAGGGCGAGTAAAAGGAGCCTGATCCTGAATTGTAATTGGTAACATGTGCAAGCAGGGGTGGCAGATGCTTTTCTAGGTTTCATACACAGAATTCCTTCAGCTTTACTTATTAATAGAGTGGTGCAGATGCTAAAGAATCACAAAGCAGATTTCCTTTTCATCTTACTTATGATTTTTTTCCATCTAATCGTGGAAGAATTAACCACACCCAAGTTTATCTCTCTCTGTGACAGGCAGATCGTAGTGTGGTCAAATTCATTGTGATCGTGCTGTGCAAAAATAGCAAAATGCCATTTAATTTGTTCTCTGATGTTTGTCTAGAATCACATCTCCTTTAGGCATAGTTATCAGCAACACTAAATACAACTGCTGATGTGTTTAATGTCATTAACACAAGAACTCTTGTACAATTTGTACAAATACATTGTTAGGGGAAAAATGAGGGTGCGGGAGATAATGTGAATAACTATAATAATAAATAACTTTACGTAACAATAAAGGAAGTGAAAAGGAAATGAAAAATACATCCACTTGTCTGAATACGACTGTGAGCTATTTTAATGGGAAATTTTAACAACTGAAAAAAAAATGAAAAGAAAAGAGAATAAAACCAGTGTCTGAATTTTCAAATAATCAAAATAATCAAACCCTAATTTGCTTCAATTAAAGACTTAGAGATGCTCCCAATGCTTTGATTCAGAAAAAAATGAGAAAGTTTCTTATTCACCTCAGCAGGCAGCTCTGCAAAATGGAAGATCCCTGTGCTCCTCTGAAGCCATTTAATGCATATATGAGCATGGATTCCCAGAACTATCTATAATGCATATAGTGCTTTCTGCTCTCAGTGGCTTTTTTTCCCCACTCTCTTTACGTCATTTGCCATTTGTGAGGGTTGCCAGGGTAATGACCAATCATCCCTGGAGAGATGCCTGCTAGTAAGGACAACATAGGCTTTCTCTTTTTTGGTATTCTGCAGTATGTGTTTGAGAGCTATTCTAGCATCAGGATTGCAGAACTTTTGTTTAGTTAGTAGGGAGGGAAAGTTTACAGAGTATGAAATAACAGCTTACAACTATTGAGGTAAGTGAGGATTTTTCTTTTCTATTTTATTAACAGTCCTGTCTGGATTTATTCAAAACACTGAACATCATTACTTTTTTGTTCTTGTTGTTGTTGTTTTTATTCGTGTAGCTGACCTTGAAATTGGTAATAGCAGAGAGGTTTTACCTAATTTGAACAATGAAATCTCAGTAGTGCTGCCTCTACAGCAGGTCAGGATTTTATTCTATTTGTAACTATGAATCCCACATCCTTTCTCTCCGCTACAATCACCATATACGTCCACTCATCCCCAAAATATTTTCAGAAGAATTAAAAACAAGAAACCCACAGAGTGTTGTAATGCAGATTTCAGAGCATTAACAGTGGTTGCCTCTCAGGCGAATGGGAAGTTCTGCATAGTCTTCTCTGTACTGTACGTATGGAATAGGCCACATCAACTGGAAACTGAAAATCCAGAGTGCAGTCCTGTCCCACAGGATGCTGAAGATGTTGAACTTGTGTTGTTTTTAGATTTTGACTGTTGAATAGACACTTGCAGGCTCATAGGCTCTTTCCTCACCCATGGAAAATGAGAAAATATAGCCTCCAGACTGCAGACATTTTTTCTGGAACAGGGATCAGCAATGTAAGCTGGTGGTGATAATTGCCTCTCTGAATAGGCCCAAATTTTGTTCTTTTGCACATGAGGGCCCCTAAATAATGCATAAGAAAGGAGGCAAAAAAAAATCTGTTCAGAAGTTCCCAATGATCTCTGAAGTTTCTGTGAAGTATTTAGGTGTAATCTGGGTTGTGACAGATATGAGTGAAATGTTTGGCTTGGGATGGTTTCTTTCTTTGTTGCTGTTGTTTTAAATAACCCACATCAGAAGTATTCTAAGTCCCAAGCACCTTTGTTGCTGCAGTTCCCTGTTTTTGTGATGGCTTCCTGGGAGAAAGGGACAATCGATGCAGTTGTTGTATTTGCTTTTCTGTGGAATTGCTAAAGTATCAAAGTTCAAATTAGTAACTGTCTCATCAAAATTACTATTTGCTGCTTAATATATGTGCACCTACGCATGTGCTTCTCATCCTGGCAACCTTACGTGTCCTGATGGGCACAACATATAATAATTAGAATAAAGCACATATTTATTTCACTCTATTTCCTGCTTACTGCAAATACATGCAGAGTGTAATTTTGACTCACACTTTTCCCCAGTAGAAAAATACAGTGGGGCATTTAATTAATGGAGCACAGCAGTGAGTCTGGATGTGTGTGTATGAGAGAGAAGAGTATTCAGAGCAACAGTTTTAAAAGTCTGAGGTGAAAATGATCTTTTCATCAGGCTGTTGAGAAAATATGTTTGTTCAGAAAGTAGACCCGTTTCCTCTTTCTAAAAATTGTTACTGGTTTTTGACATCTGTGTGCTGAATATTCCTTTTAAGCAGTTTAAGATAGGAGTAGTGTTAAATGTTTGACAGTGAAGGGGAAAAAAGTAAGCACAAAGAAACTATATATCATTATTTAATGTTTATCAACATTCCATATGATTCCAGCATTTTTAGTAATCTGGGAAGCAAATCCACAAAATGATAATTTTGTATTATTTTAGGTGTTGTCTTATAGCAGAAAAATAATATGATGACAGCTAGATGAGGTATGTTAATTAGAAAAGTAGGTTTTCACATGAGAGATTGAGAGGTAAAGCTTTCTGGAAAATATGGTGGGTAACAAGCCTCAGTCTTTATCTTTCTGTCCACCTTTTTCCTGTCTATCTTCACCATCTCTCTTTCCAATTTGAAAATGCTCCATGATTGTATTATGCAGAGAATAGCATTTACTTTCAGACAGTGGGAGAGAGAGAGAGAAGCTGAAAAGGGGAGAA